AGGAAGAAATATTTGTGGGGACATTAAATGAAGTTCAAAATCATGGTTGTATCAGATATGTCCGGAGATTTGTGTATCGCGTAGAATTGCGAACCAGTAAAATTCTTTAAATAAGTGATGCCAAATACTACTCATCGATTGGTTCAGTACAACCTTCACCAACTAGTAGCGTTTGCTAGACAGAGTGAAGTGACCTACATACCAAACGACCATTTCAATCTTTCGGGGTTAAGATTTGGTGATGGTGTTAATATCAAATTACTCACACAAGTCGATCAGTAGTATGTAGCGTCATACATTCATGCTTGCTTTTCAGGTCAACGTTTTTGGTATCAGACAGATCACATATTGTTATATAAATAGTTTTTGTGTCCGAGAAATTTCACCTCGAATTGTTTTAACCGCAAATCATGAACTGACTCTCAAGGTGGGAATTGAACTGAAAGCTGGACTCCTTGCTGCAACAGGTCACTTCGACACTATTTAGCGGTTTTGTGGCACCTCTAATTTACAACAGAACAAATATGGGCGTACTATTCTTGATAATCTGTAAAATGTAATTTATAAAGCACCCACTATTGTTTTTACTTAGGGGTGTTATGAGGAGCGAATATTCGGCACAATATCGCCTTGTGTTTTAGGATTCCACACATTAAAAAGTTTATTATTTGGAGTGAAATAATAATGATTTGTAAAAACTTCGACCTTGGAACTTGTTTGACAGCGGAAAATTTATTATTACTTTCAAGGACAGCTATACTTTTTAGGTAGTGCTGATTATGAATCGCTTCAAGAACGTGCTGGGTAACGCCTATTGTGTAAACAGAATATGGAAGCGTTTCATTAATCTTCAAGAATTTCAATGCAAGAAGTTAATGTCCGATTTCGGCATCAATGTGCAGCGGTTTGTGATGGTTCAAAACCAAGATGAAATAAACAAAACTAAAGATACTTTTAAAGTGTGCCTCATTATGCTGTATATGTCTATTTTATAGGTCAAGGAGTACGTCGTTAAAGCACAGATACCAGCAGGTGGCCGCGGCATGGGTGTATTCAAGAACGGATTCAAGGGTGGTGTCCATTTAACTAAGGATCCGGACCACATGGCTAACATCGTGTCAAAAATGCTTGGGAACCACCTTATTACAAAGCAAACAACGCCATCAGGAATTCTTGTTAATCAAGTGGGTTTATGGAATTTATTAAATAATTAAATTCACAAAATGAACTCTTCGTCCTGTTTTTATGAACAGTTGATTTATGTAATGAAATTGAGTTGACAAATGGTACTCAATATTTTCGGGGTGTAACGTTATTTAATATTTTATAAGTTGCTGTATTATCCCGAAAAAAGCTAGAAATCCGGTTCAGGAGCGCACTGTAGACAATGCATGCATGGTGTTCGTGATGAATGATGTGACTTTGTTTCAAGGTCGTTTTGAGGATCCTTCGGTCTTCTTCAGCCTCATATGGAGATTGAAGAAGCGAGATTTCACATTATGAGTCTCAGGATTCACTTTTGGTGGCTTTGTTTGCAAACCACAAACTGAAAGATTATTGACCGTAGAGAAAATTTAAAAACTATAAGAATATTAATAAGATCCACTTGTATAGCATAAAAGATTAGGAATAAGGAATTCTCGTCTATCGACATTTTTTCATTAAAACTCCAATGACTACTTATTTAAATCTTCA